TCGTTGTGTCCGCCTTCGGCTCAGGTCATGATCCCAGGTCCTGGGATCGAGCCCCGCATCGGGCTCCCTGCTCAACGGGAAGCCTGCTTCTCCCTCTCCCACTCCCCCTGCTTGTGTTCTCTCTCTCGCTGTGTCTCTCTCTGTGAAATAAATAAATAAAATCTTAAAAAAAAAAAAAGAATCAGTTCCCATTTTACATGTTTTACGAGAGACCATCCCATGAAGTAATGATGGCTAAAAACAAACAAAACAAAACAAAACAAAAACCCCCAAAACTCACTTAGCTTCTCTAGGATCTCCTCGTCCGTCATCTTGGATTTTTTCCTTTGCCGATCTGTGTTTCTATACAAAGTGCTGGAGTTGGCATTCTCAGCAGAAGGTGGTGTGACCTCTTTATTTGGTGCTGCCGGTGAAGCAATGGATTCCAGCACAGAACGAGTGTAGATCTTAAAGATAAGAAAACAAGTTCTACGATAAAAACAGTAGGCCAAGTAAAGGGTATGAAGTCAAGATGCTGTCATGTCAATGAGGTTTTATTTATTTTTTCATTAAGACAAAATTTTAGAGCAGTTTTTGGTTCACAGTCAAGTTGAGAGGAAGGTACAGATTTCCCATCTACCCCCGTGCCCACACATCATAGCCTCCCCCATTGTCAACACTCCCCCGCCCAGAGTGGGACATTCATTACAACTGATGAACCTACATTGATGCGTCATAATCACCCAAAGTCCGTAGTTTACATACTGTCCTCTCTTAAGGTATACATTCTATAGGTTTGGTCAAAGGTATAATGACATGTATCTGCCCTGATGGCAATGGAGTTTTGTCACTACCCTAAAAATCCTCTGTGCTCTGCCTATCCATTGCTCCTCCACACCCCAACCCCTACCCCCGATAAGTTTTTAAAGTCAAGTGATTAATTAAATATTAAACAAGAACTTTAAGTTGCTTCAAATATACTGTCCTTGAAAGCTCTCAGGACTCTGTCTTCTGAGGTCCCCATACATGCTGTGCTAATTCTGGTCTTGGTGCCTCTGCTTAGGCAATTCTTCCTACTTGATTCACATGGATTTCCTTCTCTAATTTAACTTCTGCAGCGATCTTATAACTTAGCACTTTTTGTATGTCCTTTGGTATCATTCTCTAATTGTCATGTACTCTCTCATATCCTCAAAGAGCAACCTCAACCAAGGTTGTACCTGATATTCTAGATCAGGGAACACAGTAAATACTCAATAGGTAGGGGGCGCCTGGGTGGCTCAGTTGGTTAGGCGACTGCCTTCGGCTCAGGTCATGATCCTGGAGTCCCGGGATCGAGTCCCATGTCGGGCTCCCTGCTCAGCGGGGAGTCTGCTTCTCCCTCTGACCCTCTTCCCTCTCGTGCTCTCTATCTCTCATTCTCTCTCTCTCAAATAAATAAATAAAATCTTAAAAAAAAATACTCAATAGGTAGGAGCTGATTAACTAGATTCTGACTCTACAATGGCTCCAGAGGACATCTTTTGAATCATTTAGAAATAGTCATTTGCGACTTACTGATTTTGTATGCTCGGGTCTTGGTGCAATAACTGGGGGGGGCTCATTGTCATCTTCTTCTTCTTCCTCTTCTTCCTCTTCTTCTTCAGACACAGGTGGAGCCAAAGGAGGCTCTGATGCTGTTTTTGTACTCTTATGACAAAAACAAAGTTTAGAGACCAGGTATTAACTCCCCGTTGTTTTTCTTCAGAAATGAGAAAAGGGAAATGAAATATTTAATCACATAGGGATATGAAAAAAACCACACCTTTTATAAATGAGCAGAGCCATCTACAATTTGGTGGCCAGGACTGCCCACATTCAGAGGTAAATTCAGGCCATGGTTTTAAACATCATGAAATTGTTTTAAAAAATCTTTTTATTTTCCACTGAGCTCAGAAGCAGTGAGCTATTCATTTAATATTTGAAAGTTCAATGTTTTTGAAATCAATGAATAATACATTTTTAAAATGCTACTAGAGCCTTCAATTTGTACTGGGCGGATTGTCAGTTTGCTGATTGATAGTTTGTCAACCAGAAAAGGGCTATTTTGTGCCTGACGATCAGAGCATGCATATGGGTATGGTAGTAATACAGCTCTGCAAATACTCACTAAGTACAAGCAAGCCCATAAATGTTGCTTCCCTGTTCAGCCTCCTGGAAAGAAGCACTCAGAAAGTAACAGACATGAAGATCGAAGGAATATTCATCAACATAAATATTCAGTCTTAACCAACAGGTATAAAATGGTGATTTGCAATGTTAAAAACTGCAATAACACCACCACCACCAAAAATAACAATAATTGTTGTATCTCGGATCGGTTCTTGATCATTCATATTAATTCAGGGGTGAAAGTGGTTCCCCCAAGGCTGAATCTTGAAAGCCCTTTGGCTATGGTTCTCAAAGTGTGGTCCCCAGACCAGCATCACCAGGAACTTGTTAGAAATGCAAATTCTTGGGCTCTATCCACACTAATGAATCATAATTCTGGGAGTGGGCCTAATAGTGTGTTAATGACAAGCCTTCCAGGTGATTCTGGTTCAGGCTCCAGTTTAAAAATCACTGAACGATGATAGAGGTCTGTGCTGTCCATGGTTAATGAATAGTTACAATGTGGCTAGTCTGAATTGAGGTGGGTTGTAAGTGTAAAATATGTATCGCATGTTGAATATGTAACATGAAAAAAATTGTAAAATAGTTCCTCGGTGAAAGACATTTCCTTTTATGCTGCATATATGTTAAAATGATAATATTCTGAATACACTGGGTTAAGTAAAATATCATTAAAATTAATTTCACCTATTTCTTTTTACTTTTTTTCAGTGTGGCTACCAGAAAATTTAAAGTTACGTATATGGCTTTTATGACATTCATTTCTATTGGAAAGCACGATTATAGATGATTTTTTATTTTGTGTGTGTGTGTGTGTATGTATTGGTTTTTTGTTGATGTCTTTGGGCATACAGGCTCAAGCTAATCCTAAAAATAATTTTTATTTCTCGAGGACAAAGCTCCTGAGGTAGATACAGGGAGCCCTACTAATAGACATATTACATCAAAGGACCTCAGCCTATGAATAAAATTCAACACGGATCTTCTACAATCATGTATAAACCGATGGTAGAGCTATAAGGTGCAATCATAGATCTGATCAGAGACAGCAAGATTTATCTACTGTGCCAAGGAAGACAACTTAGAATTTATAAAAGAGTATTTGAAAGAATATTTGCTTGCCCTGATATACATACTGAGTGGTTTACAGACTAAAATTCATATACTTAGTTGATATTGGTTTTCTTATATTTATACACCTATATTTATTCTTAATTTGGCCAAAATAGCTAAGCTATGATATTGTACTGTGGCTGTGTGGAAAGTGACATGTGTTAATGACATTAAGTTCTCAGGAAAAAAAAAAATTCAGTGGGCAAGCTTAGAAACTGTCTTTAGTTTATTGGTGTTTGCTTTGAGATTATTTTGTTTCAGAAAGTTCTGCTCTATCTTATGCCAGCTGGGATCCAGAATGCACCTAATCATTGTTCATTGGTAGAAGGGCAGAACCTGCATATAAACTGACCACTTTTTTTTTTTTAAAGATTTTATTTATTTATTTGATAGAGAGAGAATGAGAGACAGAGAGCACGAGAGGGAAGAGGGTCAGAGGGAGAAGCAGACTCCCTGCTGAGCAGGGAGCCCGATGTGGGACTCGATCCCGGGACTCCAGGATCATGACCTGAGCCGAAGGCAGTCGCCTAACCAACTGAGCCACCCAGGCGCCCCTGACCACTTTTTATATGGCAAACAAAGCTCGCTTCTCTATTAGGCAATATGCTTCAGAATAGTAAGCTTTCCATGGGCCTATGAAAATATCTGAAGTCAGAAATAAGTCACTGCCTCCAAAATGTGACAAAAAACTCTAAAACCTAAAGTCATTAATGTCTAATTACATGTCTACGAAGTATAACTATATGTCAACTTCATTTAGTGACTTATATTTAGTAGCTATAGAAATTTCATTACATTAAAAACCAAATTGTGGATTAGATCGTCTTCTTTAGCAACAGCTCCTGAGTATCCCACTGACTTCCGATAAATGATACCTAACCAAAAATTCAGTGTTACTTGTAATCAAATAATTTCAAAATCGATACTTTAAAAAATCACTTTAAAAAGTTTACAGCAAAAAAATTAAGTGCGGTAGAGGAGCCCTTTAATATATTTGGTACAACTCATCATTCAGCCTCCATAAATGAGTGTATATACAGCCTATGAGGATCTAAAAATGGCCCTGGTGGCAAATAAAATGGGCCTAGGTCTAGGCTCCTCAGACTGTTACAAAGACCAATCAGTACTACTGACCAAGCGGTAACCTTGCACATCTCAATGGTGGCTATTTCACTAAAGAACATCCGCCTGCAAAATCTCACTGTTTCTTAACATTCATTACTATCCTCACTCTTCTCATTTCGTATGGAGACCTCCCCATCTTCGATGACAGACTAAAGGACTGTTAGAAAACCTAAAGTCTTTCATCTTCTGAAGGTTTGTGGGGCAGGAGGAAGACCAACGTTTCTGTTTATCTGGGACCAGACACTATACTGTCATGTTGGCTGGTTGGTTAGAAAGAATGTGTGGCCTTCAGGGGACACTGTTTTTTTTTAAGATTTTATTTATTTATTTATTTATTTATTTTTTCCTAAAGATTTTATTTATTTATTCATGAGAGACAGAGGGAGAGAGAGAGGGGGGGAGAGAGAGAGAGAGAAGCAGAGGGAGAAGCAGGCTCCCAAGGAGCAGGGAGCCCGATGCGGGACTCGATCCCAGGACCCTGGGATCATGACCTGAGCCGAAGGCAGACGCCCAACCATCTGAGCCACCCACTTATTTGACACACACACAGAGAGAGGAGAGAGAGAGAGAAAGAGAAAGAGAGAGAGAGAGAGAGAATGCACAAGCAGGGGGAGCAGCAGGCAGAGGGAGAGGGAGAAGCAGGCTCCCCACTGAGCAGAGAACCCAATGTGGGGCTTGATCCCAGGACACTAGGATCATGACCTGAGCCTAAGGCAGATGCTTAACCGACTGACCCACCCAGGTGCCCCAGGGGACATTATGTTTTGCAGGATGGTTGGGCCAGGGAACATTAGTTGACCTAGTAACACCAGGCGTTGGTCCTGAGAACTGAAATCAACATAATTTCCTGGCCCCATGTTAAGTAAGACCAGACCAGGCATATTTTCCCATCCCTGTGTAATAATACTGGGGCTGGGCATACTTTCTTTTCCTTGTGTTAAATAGCATCAAGTGAGAGCATATTTTCCTGTTCTTATGTTAAACAATACTGAGAACAAGCAAAACTAGCAGCTTCTTACTTCAAGAAATGCTTGCTCTTGGAAGATAAGACTGAACCAGCTGAAGTATTTTGCTTAGTAAGAATAACAGCTTGCTCACCAAGACTCTCCTGAAGACTCTCACTTCACCAACCTAAAGCTATTTAATCACAAACGCTGCACAATCCTAACCTGTTCCTTGCCTTGTAAGACCTGCTTTAAAATCACATAGCCATGGGGTGCCTGGGGGACTCACTGGGTTAAGTGTCGGACTCTGGATTTCCGCTCAGGTCATGATCTCAGGGGCCTGGGACTGAGCCCCACATGGGGCTCTGTGCTCATGGGTAAGTCTGCTTCTCTCTCTCATTCTTCCTCTGCCCATCACCCCCCCCCATCTCTCTCTCAAATAAATAAATAAATCTTTAAAAATAAAATCAAGGGCCGCCTGGGTGGCTCAGTCAGTTAAGTGTCTGCCTTCAGCTCAAGTCATGATCCCAGGGTCCAGGGATTGAGCCCCATGTCAGGCTCCCTGCTCAGCAGGGAGTCTGCTTCTCCCTCTCTCTCTGCCCCTGCTCCTGCTCTCTCTCTCACTCTCTAATAAATAAATAAGTAAAATCTTAAAATAAAATAAAATAAAATCACATAGCCATGCTCTAAAATCCTATAAATGTTCTCCCCTAACATCCCCGTTCTAAGACACTGCTAAAACTCTACAAAGGGAGGGCTCTTCCTTGCTGCTAGAGTTTAATAAACAGCTTTGCTTATTAACAGGTTTTTCTGGTGGTCTTTTTGGGAGTCACAGGTATAATGTTGCCACACTCTTCCTTCTAGGCTGAGAATGACTATGTCTGTCTAAACTTGAAAATAATATAGATAGGTACTCTGGGTTCTCTTCAGATGATAACCGGAGGGGAGGTGTGTAGGGGGTTGGGTGAAATAGGGGATAGGGATTCAGGAGGGCAATTGTCATGATGAGTGTCTGGTGTCATATGGAAGTGTTGAATCACTACATTGTACACCTGAAACTCATATTAATTACACTGTATGTTAACGGGAATTAAACCAGCAAGTAAAGACTATTTTTGTCTTACTGAAAATTTGTGATACTCTTCTTGTGCCACACGGTGGGGCAAGGGAGGTAATTCTTTACTTGCGCGGGGTCCTGGAGTCTTTTAGAACTCTCAAGTGTTTGGCTGATCTCTCCAGAAGGATACAGGTAGGTATGTGCTTTTCCATATGATTTCAAGGGTTCAGAGATCTTTATAAAGCCCATCCGTATGGACTCTAAGTTATAAACCCTGCTCTAGAGCATACACTAGCTAGAGGAACTACCTTAGGAAACTCTTCTTTCTTTGAGCTTCCTTGTTAAAGGTCAAAGGAATTAGAAGTGAGGACCTTGGAGGCTCCAGATCATGGGAAGCGTGGTCTGTGGTGCTTGTTTAAGATGCAGATTTCAGGGTTCCATTCCATTTTGACCTGTGCCTTCTCTAGGCAGTTCTGATACACACTGAAGTAAAGGGACTACTAATCTAGATGAACAAAATAAACCAGTACTTCGAATCGAAAGCTCAATCTGTGTCAACTGTATACCCAGGTTCTCTGGGCACAAATCATGATGTATTCATAGTATTGTTGCTACCTTCCACTCAAAATACTAGTCCAGGATTCTAAATGCATTACTTTACTCTCAATGGTCCAATACAAATATAAAATTTTAAAGTAGCCTTAAATTTAAGAGTAGATCCCTGAACAGTATTTAGCATTTAATACACTCATATCAAAGAAGCTACCAGGAGTGAGCAGTAAAGCAGATGTCATAGGACTATGGGAGGTATTGCTGAATTCAATATTAATGACGTAGTCACTCATTTAAAATATTTAGTGACTACAACACTGCTTCTGCGGTAATTCCCACCCAGGCTATTAGAGGATGCCAAAACTGGTAATCAGTTTAGGCTATGTCTATAAGGGATTGGCCAATCCCATTAAATCAGATCTTACAGGATAGCTAGCTGAGTCTACTTGGGAGTGTTTCTAATGCAAGAAAGCATAAGCACCCTCAAGGCAATCTCCCCCTGGAACCATAAGGAGAGCACGGGGTTCTCTCAATTCCCCATTCCTAAGTAGCTGAGTCCCACTGAAGGGATCCAATCTAAACTTAAGGGTCTAATCCAGTCCATTCGATCAATAGAAACCCAGCCTCTGGGTGCCTGGGTGGCTCAGTCATTAAGCGTCTGCCTTCGGCACAGGTCGATCCCAGGGTCCTGGGATCGAGCCCCGCATCAGGCTCCCTGCTCAGGCGGAAGCCTGCTTCTCCCTCTCCCACTCCCACTTGTGTTCTCTTTCTCGCTGTGTCTCTCTCTTTCAAATAAATAAATAAAATCTTAAAAAAAAAAAAAAAAGAAACCCAGCCTCAGTTAAGCAGTTTAATCAGTATCTACACCTGGGAGTCCTGCCAGCCCTTCAAACTCCAAACTGTCCAATAGGAAACTCAGCATCTGCTCAACGGAAATTTGTAACTCCCGAAGGATGGCATCCTCACCCTTTTGGCTACCCTTGTATCATTTGAAGCCTGCAGTCGCCTTTGACCTTGACCTTTCCTCCAACATCCAATCAATAACCTAAACAATTGAACCTCATCTCCATTCCTGCTGCCACCATCTCCCCTAGGAGCCTCGTTAGCTACGGCTTGGATGCTTGTGCAACTCCTCCAGCGGGTCTCCCCTTCATCCAGCCTCACCCTCCGCCCTTAATTCACTCTGGACATTTGCTGTTAGGTAACTGTTCCCAAAGCATAAGCTTTCATTGCCTAATTCTCCTGTTCCAAAAAACTCCAAGGGCTTCCCAATGTATACCGGAAAAGGCCAGATTTCTTTCTTTTTTTTTTTTAATTTAAAGTTTACTTAGTTAACATACCATGCAATATTGGTTTCCAGAGTAGAATTTAGTGATTCATCACTTACACACAACACCCAGTGCTCATCACGACAAGAGCCCTCCTTAATACCCATCACCCCTCTAGCCTATCCCCGCACCCACCTCCCTCCATCAACGCTCAGTTTGTTTTCTACCGTTAAGAGTCTCTTATGGTTGGTTTCCCTTTCTCCCTTTCCCCGCCCCCTTCCCATATGTTCATCTGTTTTGTTTCTTAAATTGCACATATGAGTGAGATAATATGATGTTTGTCTTTCTCTGACTGACTGACTTCACTTAGCATAACACACTCTAGCTCCATCCACATTGTTGCAAATAGAGCAGATTTCTTGGAATACCATTTAAGGGCCGCTATGATTTGGCTCCAACTTAATGTTCAAGGCATAATTCCTATGATTCCTTTTCTTGCATCTGTCTTCATTCAAAACCACATCATTTTGTCCCCACGTTCTCCTCACTACTGTGCCCTTTCTTATGTTTTTCCTTTTGCTTAGAATGCCCTTCTCCATCTATTCCAGATCCAAATCCCCTCGGACCTTCACGATCTAGCTCAAATGTGACCTGTTATATGAAGCATTTTCCAACTCAACATTCAACAAATATGTACCAAGTACCTACTTTGTACCAGGCACTGAGCTTTAATAAGCCCTTTGAGACAAGAGCCTGCGTCCTTTTTCCTACCCAGCTGAAAGTAATCTCTTTTCTCTGAGTTCTCATAGCAAATGGACATATTTTGTGGTATGTAACATGGTCCATATTGTACTGTGTTTCTTGATGTGCATACTTCTCTTCCCTTACCAGAATGAGCTCCAGATTTCCTAGTGCTTGTAAGGAGGCACTCGATAAATATATGTGAAAAAAGTAAATATCCAGTTGTTTCGTCTCCAAACAGTGAGAACATCATTTTTTTCCTGATTTGGTGGAATATTTTGATCATTATGTAGATTTAGTTTGAATTCCACAAGCAGAACCAGTAGAAGCAAGTTCAAAAGAAAGGGACAGTATTTCAGGAGATATAAACTGTTGACAAAAATAAAAACCAATCTACCGACCACCCTAACAGGTTAGCGTTTAAAATAACTGACCTACCTAACTAAAAAAAATACTATTTCTTTGCCAGAATACCCAGCTTGTATTTATTATATAATAATGATATTGAGTAAATCAAGGGAGGAGAGGTAAGTATTCAGCATGGAAGGTTGGAATTTTTGCTTTAGCTTACATTTAATAAACATATAGCATGTGCTAGGTAGTATACTAAGTATATTATATGCATTATCACATTCAATACTCATACAATAAGACTAAACACCTATGTCCAGAGCCTTCATTCTTTTTTTATTTTTATATTTAATTGTGGTAAAATATACATGACATAAAAGTTACCATCTTAGCCATTTCAAATGTACAGTTGAGTAGTGCTAAGTATATTCACACTGTTGTGCAAGCAATCTCCAGAACTCTTTTCATCTTGCAAAAATAGAATTCAGTATACAGAGTATTCTGTATCTCCTATGAGTAGAATCATACAGCATTTGTCTTTTCATGACTGGATTATTTCACTTGGCATAATGTCTTCAAGTTTCATCCATGTGCTAGCATGTGTCAATGGTCAGAATGTCCTTCCTTTTTTTTTTTTTTTTTAAAGTAGGCTCCATGCTCAGCGTGGAGCCCAACATGGGGCTTGACATCACGACCCTGAGATCAAGACCTGAGCTGAGATCAAGACCTGAGCCAATATCAAGAGTCGCATGCCCAACAGACTAAGCAACCCAGGTGCCCCAGAATGTCCTTCCTTCTTAAGGCTGAATAATATTCCATGGCATGGATATACCACATTTATTTATCCATATGTCTGTTGATGGGCACATGGGTTGCTCCCACCTTTTGTACATTGTGAATAATGCTGCTATGAACATGGGTGTGTAAAAATCTGTTTGAAAACCTGCTGTCAATTCTTTTGGGTATCAATCCAGATGTGGGATTGCTGGATCACATGGCAATTCTATTATTAATTTTTGAGGAACTGCCACACTATTTCATAGCCTTTACTTGTTATCACTAATGATCTACTGCTATCACACTTGTCACCCAGGGTGACATCAAGTGGGCCAGCATCTGTCCTCTATAAAAGGTTGATTATCCAGGACTCTATGAATCAACAGTTAGGAAACTCTCACTAATGCTAATTATTTCAAAATAAAACCACACAAAGTAAGCCTTTTCTAAGAAAATTGTCTATCTAATGCCTATGGGTATTCTTGCAGATACTCTATCATTTCTAAGAACTTTGAACTAGGTTACTTATTTTCTAGTCACTTCTTTGATCAGACCATCTACGTGAGTTTGGGCAAAGTCACCTCCCCCACTGCATCTCAGTTTATTGGAACAGGTGACGCTCAGAAGTATAGTGGTATGACCTCAGATGAGTTATTTTACCTCTCTGAACCTCACCTATAAAATGGAGACAATGGTAAGACTTCCCTCATCTGGTTACAAGAAAGGTTAAGTGAATGTAAAAATGTTATCATCCCAGCGCCTGGCACATTGTAAGTGTTGAGTAAAGAGAAGTCACTATCAAGATGACTATTATTTTCATGATTCTTTGTATAAGAGAAATAGAAACATTTATCTACATAAAGATTTATACATGCATGTTCATAGTAGCGTTATCTACAAGAGCCAAAAACTGTCAATGGTCTGGAAATCCTTCAATGGGTAAATTATTAAACAAACAGTGGTACATCCATACCATGGAATCCGACTTTGCAAGAAAAAGGAACAAACTACTAATAACACACAACTTGGATGAACCCTAAGAGCATTATGCTGACTGAAAAAAGCCAATCCCCAAAGGTCATATACTGTATTATTTTGTGTACGTGAAATGTCTAGAAAGACAAATCCCATAATACCAGATCAGTGACTGCCTGGGGCTAGGGTGGGATGGGGAATAGCTGTAAGCAGGTATAAGGGATCTTAGGAGGTGATGAAAGTATTCTAAAGCTGGATCGTGGCAATGGTAGTGCTGGTATTTACATTTACCTAAACTCATCAAACTATACACTTAAAAATGGGTGAATTTTATAGATTTAAGTTATACCTTCAAAAGACTTTTTTTTTTTTTTTAGAAGACTCTCTATCTAAACTGAATCTATGTGACGGTATTCTGTTGGGCTGCCAGAAACACTGATCACTCCAAACCATTTTCCATTTTTCACTTACCGAGGGATGGGCTGCTATGTATCCATGTGCGCTTTTATCTGGAAAGTAAAGATAAAGATGTCACCTTTATTTCATGAAGCCTGCCTCACTTAGAGACCAGAGTTAATAAAAAATTAACCTGCATGCCTTTGACCAGAAGGAAATTCTCCAGTTCCGTATTGAATAGATACTATGACACATGACATCATTGTTCTGAAAATAGCTCACACCCTTGCCCCCTCACATGTCATTTTATAGACCTTAATGAAGGCCTCCAGCAAATCTCATCTATATGGAGGAATATCAAGATCAGCTACTCCTTTTTTTTTAAGATTTTATTTATTTGAGAGAGCGTGCATGCGAGTGCTAACGTGTGTGCAAGCAGGGGGAGGGGCAGAGGGAGAGGGAGAGAGAACCCTCAAGCAGACTACCCGCTGAGCACAGAACCCCGTGCAGGGCTTGATCCCAGGACCTTGAGATTGTGACCTGAGCCAAAATCAAGAGTTGGATGCTTAACCAACTGAGTCACCCAGGTGCCCCAAGATTACCTACTCTTGGTTGGTATGAGTCTATACACCTATATCCAGAATGTCTCCCCTACTTCCTCCCTCCCTCCCTCCCTCCTCCTCCGCCCTCCCTTTCACCCTGCCTTCCTTCCTTTCTCTTTCTCCTCCCCCCCACCTCCTCCCACCCTATTCCTCGGTCTCCAACACTAGAACATCCATGCAGTGTCTGGTGAGTTTTACTCAGCTCAGAGAAACACTGGAATGAAACACTTTTGGTTCTGGTCACCTGTGGTTCTCCAGTGAGCCCGGAGGACAGTTCTAGACTCCCTCACTAGGATCTCTGAGACGTTTCACTCTACGTGGAAGACTAAATATCATAGAACCTCTCCTTGCTGGCTTTTTTTCTTTTTGGTTTCCTGTTCTGGAGAAGAGCAGTTAAGCTATCTTCTCAGTTAAAAACGTCCCGTGGAGCCCGTGAGTTACTATACGCCTTAAGTTTGGGCTTTGACAGGTCTTATGACCAAATGAGACACTCCTCCCCTTCCAAGTGTCCCCTTGCACCATCCTTGAAGATATTTCAAGCCTGCCCTATGTTAAAACCAATGCCAAGAGGTAGGGGCTCTTTACAGCTGGGCCACTAATGATAGGATGCTCTTCTTTTTTTTAGATGTTAAATAATAAGTTGTTCTAGAGAGGCAACCCAGATCATCTTTCTCAAAATGCAAAAATATTGTCTGGCACATATTTTTCAGTTGCTTATAGTGCAAATGTGAACCTCAAAGCTTCAAAGAAAGGCTGGGTCTACGTGCTAGCAACTGAAGTCAGGATTTGGCAGGAACATGGCCATTTCGATTTCTTATAAATAGCCAGACATGATTTCTTTTTTTAAGCCTGATTTTGAGGTTGGATCAAAATAGCCTGGCAACCACAAAATGCATGCTGTATCATCAGGGTCCAATTCAATGAATCGGAGGGATAAAAAAAACTTCAGGAGATCATGGCTGGATCCATACACCTCTTATCTCATGGACACATCAAAAGGCCTGATCCTACGTGACTGAGTGTCGTCTTCATGCCAGGGCAGAGACCAAACATTTGTAACTGCTGATTCAACCTGACAACTGCTGCTTCACTGAGCAATTAATTCCCCCTACTTGAGTTCTAAAAACAACCAAGTGGTAAACCTCCTCATGTATCAACTTCACCTTCCAACCCATCTTTCGATTTACTGCCGCTGAAGTCATTTGGAGAAGGCACTAGGACTGGCTTCAGATGCCCTACAGGCATTCTGTTCTAATCCTGAGGCTCTGAGATGGGAATTCCTTCTTCTCTCTTTGATACCTTGGACTTCCTCTTACCTCCTGACGTAAAGCTCATGTATTTCTGGTTGTTGACCGTTTCTTTGGAATCGTAGAATTTGAGAACATCCAGGACAGCTTGTGGGTTCTTCTTCTGTTCCAGTTTTGTTATGTTGGAGGTTTGGAGTAACCGTGCCCACTGCTCAGGGATTCCCTGTGGACAACCAGAGGGAGAGAATGGCAGCTCAGAACATTCAGCAGCTGCATTTTTATGTTCCAGTAAAGTTCTTCACCAAGAAGCCCATGCTACCTGTAGGATTACACTTGGGAAACTGAAGTGACACTCTAGATTTAAAGTTAGTAACTTAATAATGCAATCATTCTCTTCTCTAATTAAAACACATAGGTAAAACTAGGATCCAACTTAAAAAGGGTGGGTGGGAGTATGACTGTGATAGAAAAAAAAAGCGCATGAAAATCACCTCCATATTAATTCTGCTCATCCATGAAATGATGTTTACGGCTTAGCTTATATTTTCTGGCGACTCAGGGCAGACATAGCAAGACTTCTCTAAATTTGTGCACAGTATAGTATAGTGCAGATCAATGGATTTTATATGACTGGAATCACATAAGCTGTTTCTGGGCATGTTGTAATCGGAAGATCTTTCCGAACAGAAGAAAAGCCTCACCTTCGGGCACTTTACGCTTTGTGATTACAAAATGTAATTTTGGGGGGGGGGTGCTCTAGGGCTTTAATACAGAGGGGGATTGAGAGGAGGCAAAAATAGAATAGCGGAGGAGCAACAACACAGAGGTGCTAAATAGTTTCTCCTCTCCTCCCTCCATGCCCTCCTCCCCACTTTGTTCGTTGGCCACATGGAACCTGGGGACTGTGACGCCCGTGCCAAAGCCTCGTGAGAATTGGCAACACTCTAAAGCATTTAGAGCAGACAGGAGGGAGCGTTTGGAAATCTAACCTGGGACAATTGCACCAATTACGCTGAAAGGTTAGTTTCACGTTGAGCGTTTAGCATTCTTTCCTACATGTCCAGCCTACGGATGTCCCCATTTCGTAATTGTCCAGCCTCCAAAGGCAGCTTGGAGCAAGAGACAGACACATCGTTCCTGAAGTGCATCTAGACACAATTTATGTGGCCTTGCCCTCTGAAGTCTCGGCAAAACAATGTGTGACGTGGGCCTCCAGAGTTTGGGAATGACAACAAAAAAGTGAGATAAGCCAAGCAACAACTCTACTGCACACACATGAACCTGCTGCAGTGCTATGACATCTCAAAGAAGCACTTTGATGCAAGCTTCTTTTGGGCCTGTGACGCACCTCTGGGAGCTTCCCTGGGCACATCTGTGAGCCATAGAGATCTGGCTGTAATGGACGTAAATAAAGAAAGAAAAGAAAGTTAAAACAGAATGTGGGACAACTTAGAAGGTGGGAGGAGATGAAACCAATGGGTCTGAATGGGGGGGGTCATCCCTTCTCCAGTGGGGCGGTTATGAAAATCGAGAGGTCTTAACTCCATCAGGGGCAGGACAGGCTAGGACAACAGATTTGAGGAAACAGAGGAAAAAAAGACAACATTCTCAAGTTGGGACGCGTAATTCCACTTGGGGCCAGATGCTTCCTCCATAAGTACACAATAGTAAGAATTACCGTTAAAGGACCGGAGAAATTACCAGAAGGCAGAAACATGACTTTGGAGGGAAGAAGGATGGTATCATGAAAAGCTCTAACGATAATTTGTAAGTCTGTATTTACAACCAGGTGATCACAGGTAGCCGATGGCCATGTGATGAACTTACAAATTTCAGTTCTCAATTCTGGTTAACCGTTTCTGGTTTCAGCGTGGAAGTGTCTGTGTGGCTAAAATGGACAGGATGGCGACATGGGGATGCCAAATTTAACTGCATTCTCATTGATGTGACTCTTCTGCACGTTGCAGCGAGAAAGTCGTGACTGGTTTAGGGAAAACTAGATTAAGGATTTCCCACACAGCCAGACTCTACCTTTGAGTTTCTTTAGACCAGGGAAAGGGAAACCATTTCATTTCAAACCATATATGAACAATTTCCATTTTAATGCTGCAGTTCGGAAGTCCCGGCTTCCCACAAAATAAGATCGGATATAAGGTAATGGCTTTATCTAAATAAAGAGATTGTCTCCAAAGCTACAGAAACATGCTTCAACCCAACCGGTTTGATTTGGGATACAGGTCTTTGATTCCTGGCATTTGGGGTTACTCCAAGCACAGTGAAACGACACTTTGACATGCATTAATCACGCAATTCGATGCTAAAGCCTTAAGCCACATATTTGAACTCAGGAGCCCATGCATGATCCCAGTTCTGATTCTAAGTGCAATTAATAGCATTTGGTTAATACTGTAATGGCCAAAGGAGTTATTAAGTGTTATAAAACCAGGTATGCATTGCACATAACCACTAGGGCAGACATCACTGGCATGATCATTACCGTAGTTATTAGAATATTTGCAGTTATTATACATTCTGATGGCAGTTCTAAACTTTTGTGATAAATAAATGTCTCGTGATCACTAGACAGCAGGAAAACATGCTGTCAATTGCAGAAGATCCTTCAGACAACTGTACTTACCACATGACTACCCTGCTGACATAATTTCTTGTTTCTCTGAGAAGTTGAGATAAACTAGTCGATCAATGAGACCTGACACTTAAATTTGAATGTATGCCACAAAGGCACATCATCAGATAGCCATCTCATTACTCCAGATTGAGGTACAAATCCCAAAAGTTAAGACAGCTAATGGAGACCTAGAAGTATGAGCATCAGAAGCAGGAGCACATATCAATGCCTGACCACGTGTACAATAACAACCAGATGTACAACAAGCTGGGGATTGTCCGGTGTAGCCCAGGAGAATGGCAGCATGATACAACAGGCCAAGCATTTATCTTATCATAAGAAATGATCATGTATATCACTCATACCATTCTTCCCTCTGATTGACTTGAAGCGACCGTCACAGGTCTAGAAGTCTGGAAGGGGGAGTTCTGAAGTATTTGGGACAAAAATGGCAATATAAAGGGTAAGGACTTTTCATAGTTTAGTACCCCAAATCTCACCTCCCAACCTAATTTGAATCTCAAGGTCCAAACGTATAACCAGGTGTACAAGGTTATATGGGCCAACTAGCCATAGGACAATCACCAAGGGGCACACCAAATTGGCGTCCAAATATTCACAGTGACAGGCCCTTGGAAGACAACTGAACAAGACAGTCAACAAACTGCTCAAAATTCAACCTAAACAACAGCAATAATCAAATTTGGTAACGCGTCCCTCCCCCTCCTCTGCGTGTGCATGTGCGCTCGCGCACACACACACACACTACATTAGTGGCACCGTGGCAAATAGGACCCAATTTTAAATGCTACCAACAAAATGATTTTAAAAGCTTATTATCATTTGGCATTTTTAAAAGTTAGTAAATGTAAACCAATGGTGAAAAGAGTTGAAAAGGGCAGAATTTGGCATCTTTGAATATAATGTGTGGACAAGTAGTTTCAAAAGACCACCAAGAGGACAATAAATGCATCAGATTTCCAAATTTAGCCTGTGTCTGTCTGTATATTCAAACAACTGCCTGCATCCAAACAGCTGCTTTATTTTGAATTGGGTGTGGTGGAGGCGGGGGTGGGGTGGGGTGGGGCAGGTTTTGGTTTGGTTGCGTTCAGTTGCATCAAACTGTTGGTCACAACTGGAAAGAGTGCCCATCACATACCCCACCCCCAGCCCTCTCTGGTGGGTTCTTTGGGTTCTAACCAATGGCCAAGTGAAAATGCAGTCAGCAAGATGATGGTGATTCACTTTTTTTCATTTCCATTCAGAACCCCAAAAGAACAAAGAAAGAGCTCAAGATATATTGTATTATAAGATGTCAAGCAAGTTGGAAAGAGCAGAAAATATTTTTAAAAAATTGGAAAGGAACCAGAATGTCACATGAGAATAGTGGAGGGAGAGCTTTCACATCAGACCAAAAGGAAGGAAAAAGAAAACGTGGCATGACAGCAATAAAACATAAGAGAAGTTAAAGCAGAAGAAAAGCACATAGAAAACAAAAAAGGTCACACCTGCAAGCATAACATTCTTAAAATAAAAACAGGGAAGAGTTAGTAGACCACATTTACAAAGTTGAAGTGCTTTGACTATTTCAAATGTCAAAAAAGTCGTAACATCTTTGTTCAGATTATAAAAATCATTATTATTATTATTATTATTTTTGGAGGTGACAGCAGCCAAGGCCATTTGAATAATGTTTCTGACTTCATGGATGAAATTGGTTAAATCCTACCACTGTCTCAACTTTATTGACATCAGTATTTCTTTACGTTCTCTTCTGCTTACTACTGGGAGTATAGAAATAATCAGCTCATGTCACTTTACAAGGCCAAGATGTTTACTCCGTTTTGATTTTATTCTCATATTACGTACTTCTGGAATTGGAAAAAAAAAAAAAAGGCAATTTGGCAGTCAATTCAGAGACATGGTTTGCTTCTCCAAATCCAGTCAATTTGTCCCCCACCCCTTTTTGGTTCACTCAGTCATATGATTTTACTTACTAACCGTCAAGTTACAAAACAGAAAATTTAATTATTCAACATCTAAAATTATCTCTGGTTTTAGAACCCAAGAATCAGTGGTGATGATATTATAAAACATTTTTCTTCTGAATGCATTCAAAATTACTCATTATCTCAGAATGTACATTTTTATTGAGATCCTTACTAGTATGAAAAAGATAGTTGATCCTCCTGGGGACATATTTTTAGCCACATCTTTTCCTTCATCTATCTAAAAACAAAGATGCCAGATCTTTAAAAAAAAAAAAAAAGTACCAAATGCCTGAGATCTTGTGCTATGTGAGCACTACAAATATCCAAAGAAAGGCTGACTATAGCTATGGTCTTTCTGGAAAATTCGTATTGGTATTTATTGTGGATTGTATATGTGTAAAGCACATAACCACTAAAGCACACATGACATATTCATAGTCTTCCTGAAACATGGGGTTCGTTGTTTTGAAGGCCTATGAAATATGCCTGTTAATAGGCCTAAAAATAAGCCATGTTCTTGAAATCAAAGGGAAGACCAGGTCAATTGTACAGAGATTTTTTGGTTAGTGTGGTTAGCTGATCTGGGTAATCCAGGTTCCAATGTCAAGCCTGAATTATTCAGATGGACTGTATTCACTGGCCAAGTTGAGTCAGTTGATTCTCTGATTCACTTCAAACAATAAAAAACGGGCTCAACAGAGTCTCTCTACCAGGACTGCCTCTCCTGTGCCGTGGAAAATTCGCATGTTCAATGACATTGAAGACTAACTGTGATCAGACATTTTTATGATGGACGAAGTAATTTTGCCAATACTCTTGCCACTCTCTAGTTCCAACTGGGATTGACTCAGCATAGTCCCTCTTCTTGAAATCATCCAAAGCATCAAGCCTGACAACATTCTGGGACATGGGCATGTTTTCTTGAAACCTATTTTCACAAAGGAATTTTTTTCATGGCTTGCAAAGCACAATAAGGAGCTTACTTACAGTGAACTCCCCGGTGACTGCGTCAAACCCCACATGAATCGTATGTTCAAAGTCTGAAGGAAGAGAGATCTCTGGGCGTTCTTTCTCCTTCTTCTTATTGGCTAAAGGCAAAATGTTAACATGTATTTATTGGGGATATGGTTTTGTCATCCCTATAGTTGTACAATTAGGTTCATCAAAAACAATTACAAAGTTGAAAGACAACTGATTCCGACACAAGCTTAACAGGATTTAGCTCCAGAAATTATAATTTCATCTGCAGAAGTAGCTGAGAGTTTGACAAAAAATGTTACATCCAGATAATATACAAATTTCCCAAATCGAGTTCAAACAAAACTTACGGTCACACTGATTTATGTCCTTTACCAGTCTAATAATGTAACCAACAGGTGTGTAGGTGTATCGTGGTTAAGTGGCTTTGTTGGATCGAATAGGATTTACTAAAGAAGCAATTCATTATGATCAAGTCAAGCTAAGGCTTACTATTACAAAGAAAGAACAGAAAAGTGCTGAAGCTATCTATAAAAGCGTTGTTTCAATGATAACCATAGCGAAATATCAAGCAGCTAGAACTTGTTTAATTTACATGTTTACATTTATGAAGCATATCTTAATAGACTCTTGGTCTTCTCAGTGAAAATACTACTGCAAACCATTAATGTTACACATCTTTATCACTAAAAATGTTTTTAATCATTTCCTACCCAGCACTTTGCTAGTAAAAAAAATACAAATGGCTGATTTTTACTGAATTAATTTTATTTAGTTCTTAGTAACCTCAAATCAATGCTTTGGCTTAGTCATTCCAGTGTGTAGCTATTTTTCCATGTCCCTAATATATTTTTTGTCATATTAGCCATTCAAGATCATTGTCCTCAAGTAGATTTTTCAGAGTGACACAATTATGAATAAACACATCCACAGTTAATATGGCAAAAAGCTTTAAAGATATTATCATTGGAGAAATTAAGTTGGGAACTGTAATGAACTTAGTCTATCTTGGAATAGATTCCAGGAGGAAGTTACTGTGGAAATGTCAAATGGCATCAAGTAGGTTCCATATTAGACACATAAGCAAATCGGAGCATGTATCTCTGATCGGGGTGCATTTCACACTCAAAAGACAATTAATAATAATACTCACCCTCCTAATAATGGGAAAGTCAGCATGGTTTGCCCAATTGAAACCAGTCAATCTCAGAATTGCCAGGGTGGCCAACTTAGAACACTCTGGTTCAAATAGATGTTTCCTTGGCCTGAATTTCAGACAACATTCAATTAACCATATATGGTTTTGTGAGTTACCCAGGATAAATTTTCAATTCAAGACATTTCACGTTCAAATGTCATTCTCATGGCCTCTTTTCTCTTTCTACCCTCTCTCACTGCTCCCTGTCTCCAGCCAGAGGACAGAGAGATGGGGCAGAAATATGTACATTCAAGGAGTAAGAAGATTAGGATACAGGATTAGGAAAGAAAGATTGGAGGTGGGGGTGGGGGGGTAGGTGGGGGACAAGGGTCACTCAAAGCCTCTGCCTGGCCACGGAACACATTAGGACTCAATTTTGAAAAGTACATATGTGCCATTCAACTTGACTTCAGCATGGATGCCGTGTTTACAGCAAGCCTACTTTGTGGAATATGATCCTAACCGAGCAATGAAGTGGAGAGTTTTTTGTGGGTACCTACTTCCGCTGTGTGTTTTGGCCCCATAGCTACCACTCACACTTGCTTGGCCGCCAGGCAGCTATCCTAGCCACTCCCGTAATCGTGTCCTTGGTTTTCCTCTTCCCAGATCTCCCAACCATGTTGGACGTGGCTGACTCCCTCTCTTTTTACTTCCTTCACAGTGTGGTCCCATTCTCCTCCTCCCTCAGTGACCATTCTTTATTTGACTGGCATCGCTTCTCCTTCTGCCTTTTCTAATGCAGTCTTTGGCCTTTAACAATCCTTTCTTCACCCCTGTTCCTCCTGGATGGTAGCCAGTCCCAGATACTAACCCATGTGGCGGAACTCCCTGATCTGCGGTTGGCTGGGGATGATCCGGGTACTGTGGGACCAAACACTTTATACAATTTGAGAGCAATGCTCCCTTTAAGGAAAAACACTCCAAGACTACCAGGGCCCCTCCTAGGGCCCTGGAAGAGCCCCAGGCTAGCGAGGAACTCTAGAGAAGTGTTATTCACTTCATAGTGAATCTACTTCTAGTGACAGGTGACTCTCTTGGGGTCAAAGACCTCTCTGAAAATCTGAAGAAGGCTATGGAACTTCTGCCCATAAATTGCACTGAACATATCTACACAATTTCCCATACAATTTCAGAGGTTCAGAACTCCCCTGGACTCCGGGTTGAGAACCCGTAGCTCAGTCTATGTCTCCAATCACTGTATCAACTTGCATTCATGACCTCTCTTGCCAGCAGTCTCTCCTTAATTTCCATTAGCAATGGCTGAATGTTTAAAGCTTATTGACTTAGCCCTAACCACTCCACTTGGGCTGAGCTATAGGAATTGACTTCATGGAGTCTCTCCAGAAGGCTACCTGATTGCCAGTCTCTTACCAGCCTGATCATGCCCTTCCCTTCACTCAGGGCTAAGTGTAACAAAGGCAGGAAGCCCAAACTTGCTCTTCCTTTCTCTCAGTGAGATGGTACCACTAACCACGCAGATCAAAGAAGGATTCAGGTTTTAGACCCCTCTTCTTTTGGGAGGCCCTGAGCAATGAAAAGATTACGACCCCCTCCCTCCCCAATATATAATTCAAATAAAAACAACACTAAAGCATAAAAAGGTAAGAAAGTCCACAAAGTTCTGCTATTCCTGTGGTGATGAAGTCTTTCTGAAAACTACATATACAAACTAAAAATGTGGCCAGGTTTTGGGGGCCCCTGATTTGCAGAGCCTGTAACACACGTTAACTCTCTTTATTGGGTAATTCAGCACTGGCCCAACTGCCCATGCCATAAATTTGGGAGCTTCTCTGACTCCCACTGCATCTCTACCTTAATTAGTCACCAAGTTCTATGCTATCTCCCACACTCCCACACTCATCTTGAATCTCCCTTCTTCCTTTCATCCCCACAAACCATTACCTTAGTCTAAGGTACCACTATTGCTCACCTGGTCTTATTGCCTCCAATCTTGCCTCCTGCTCTTCATTACTTTGTGGCCAGAGTAATCTTGGAAACACACAAATCTCACCACATTCCTGCCATTAAGATCCTTAAACGGCCCCCCACTCCCCATATGGTATAAGTTCATGCTCATTTAGCATGCTATCCAGGGGCCTGCATGATCTGCCCCCAGCTTACTTCTCCACTGTCTATTCTTGCCATAGCCCCCACTGTCCCATACCCACGTCATGCTCCCTAAACTGCTGGATTTTCTCTTACTGCCAAGACTTTCATGCTAGGCCAAGGCCTGGCAAGTCTTCTCTCTTACCAAGATCCCTCACCCTGCACTTTGGGTGGGTAACTCCCGTTAGTCCTTATTCTTGAAGATTCACTCTTGGGCTTCCTTTTTTTTTTTGGCAAGTCTTGCCCTGTCTTCCCTCTGCAGACAAAGTTAAATGCCCTTCTCTTCATGCTTCCATAGAACTGTCCGGTGCATACTCGGAGCTTGGCATGTATCAACACTGGATTGTTATTTCTTCTTTACATACCTGTATCTCTAGCCAAAATTGGAGATATCTGACAGCAGAGACTGTATCTTATTCATTCTCACAACCCTTAGCACCTGGCTTATGTCTACACTCTTCATGATTTTAATTTATGGAACATTTACCATGTGCAAAAAGTGCTTCTAGGGTCATCTCATTTAATCTCCATCACAATCTCATTAAATAGACCTTATTAGTATTGAATTATTGTTCTATAGTTAAGGAAAGTGAGAGTGAGGTTCAACCACATGCCCAGGTATGTGGCAGGTGTCAGAGCCAGAATTTGAACCTAGGTCCCAATTGTGTCTACAGGGCCCAAGTTCTTAACAGCTACACCATTTATTATTCAGTAACATTAAAAAAACAAAACAAAACAAAAACCAACATCTTTGAGCCCCAGTCTTCAGTAAGTGTTTAGTGACTAAATGGAGCTTAGGTGAGAATTTTTTGTCCTTTCTTTTCTGGAACACTAAAATGTCTGTATCTCCCCCAGAAAATTGTTGAGCATGGGTCATTTATATTAATATTCAATCTAACCTGAATCTTGGCCTGATAAAACTCAGTCTGATCAGCTCTGGATTGAAGTTTGCAGGGAGCAGAAGCCCAAATGAGTACCACTTTCTAAGTTTATCGCCCTTACCCTCCCGGAACATAGAACGAAGGCCCCAGGTTGCCGACTAGACCACAGACTGCAAAGAATTTGGCCTTGGGACCCTCTGGGTGTGCATGAGTTCTGGTTATAACTCCAGGGGCCAGCGAACCCCCCCAGAGTCCCTCATCGTGGCATCTTTCTCCATCCCACTACATGTTAAAGAAAGAAAAGCCCTCCTAGTCATCTGTCATCTCCTCTACGCCCTACCTCAATCAATGTCCTGCATTTTCCCCAGTGCCTACAGCTTATTCCATTACCAATTCCCCTACACCTTCAGCCTCTTCATTAAATGCTCTCTTCACTTCTTGCCTCGGGTTTCAAACTTCACTGTGCATCACTCTCATCTGGAAAACTTAAGAGAGAGGTGTCCAAACCTCACCCCCAGAGATTCAGATTCATTTAGTCTGGGGCAGACCCCAGCACCTTTAATTTGTAAAGCTCTTCAGGGTATTTCCATGAAGCAACTGGGGTGGAGAAAAACAACTTTCGGTTCTACTCTCTAATGAGGGTACCACTTCCTCAGATAATCCTGATGGACGCTGCTCATTCTTCCCCATCCCAAGTTCTTAGGGGTGGAGGAATGGGGAAGGGTAGGGTTTCCCCCTTTTAATTCCAAGCTGTTGATCTGAGATCAGTACTTCTGCACCTGCCTCCAAAAGCCCCTCCTTTGAGGTTACTGCCATTCAGTGCTCTTGGCCAAGTCCCCATATCCATTGAGGATTCGGGCTCCTGGTCTTCCTTCCTACCCTCAATGCTGCCATCACTCTGTGAAACGTGATATATAAATGGATA